ACTTGCTCACAGAACATTTGCAGTGCAAGGAATCTAGGCGGTTGAGTAGTTAGGTGACTTATCCAAGGCAACTTATGTCGCTGGCTCTGGGGCGGGACTTGACCTCACATGCTTGGTGCTCCCGGTTTCTTGTTACCAGTGGGACTGGATTCACCCTTCTCTGACTTTCGTTTGACCTAATCACTGCCACAAAGGTGGGCTGCACCTGAGTTCTGTCTATCCCTTCCCTCATTTCCAGGTCCAGCCTCAGGAGAGTTGTGCAGACTTCTCTTTGGCACCTTCCCTTGTCCCCAGCTCCATGGAGAAGGGTCGAAGGCTGGAGCAGAGTAGCTTACCCTCCTCCACGGTTTGGCTTTGCCTAATCAGTTTAGGGTTTGATAACAGATTCTGGGATCTGTCTTGAACTAAAATTCAGAAGCTTGGAGTTAGGGGTAGAAAATGGAAAATAAATGCCATGCACAAGAATATTGTTTTCCTTTTTCCCTCTAGGAGAGTGGTTTCCAAACTTTGAGTGGGATCCACAGTGTGGAATACATTTTACATCACTGCACAGAGGTCCGCAACTGTGTAAGTTCCAGGAAAAACAGTTGCCCTTACTACCTGCAATCTGTTCTATTTATGTTTCTCCTACCTAATTAAAAAAAAATAAATCAACTGCTGGCCATGACTCATTAATTTGATTTCTTGACCAAACAGGTCATGACCTGCAGTTTAAGAAACATTGCTCTAGAGCAGAGGTCCTCAAACTTAAATGTGCATAAAGATGACCTGGGTAGTGTTTAAAAATGAAGTTTGTAGGTTCAATCTGGAGATATTTATTCTCAGCAGGGCACATTTTTAATAAGTGGGCCATGAGGTTTGAGGCAGGTGGTTGATAAGAAACCCTGATCTAGTGGAAACTGGGGAGAATGAACAATGACAGGCATTACTTAAGATATGAAATATACCAAACCTTAGTCAGATATGTGACCCACACAGTCTGTGCAAACCCAGGATCCCTCAACTAGCCCAGGCTTTGAAAAGTCTAAGGATATAGTGTTATTTGCCTTCAGCTGCCATGAAGCCTTGGCCTCAAGAGACAGCACCCCCCCATCCCTTCCCACAGCACCCTGCCCAGCCCATTTGAAGGCTGGTGTTCTGCTGTTCAGTACCACTGTCTGTTTCTAGGTGTGTGGGGTTGGGGGTGTGAGCAGTACTGATGAGCTTGCTGTATTATTCACAGATTATGTGAATTTTTACTGCTTTAATGATTTTAATGGTTTTGAATTGGCAACACAGTCATTGTGCCTGGGACATTAACAGTTGGTCAGCAGGAAAGGTTGATTTTATTTAATATCTGGGTATTCCAGGCTGTGTAATCCAGGGGAAGGGCAAGCTGGTGATTTTATTTTTGTTTGGGGAGGTAGGGAATGGGGGAGCCAGGGGCTTGTCTGTCAGCAGTTCTTAATAAGAAGAGGCACAAGTTTTCCCACCTCCGTGCCTACCTGCCTCAGCCCTGGTTCTTCCTCCGTGACATCTCCGCTCCTGTGTGCAGGTGGCTCTTGTTAATCATACCATTTCTGAGGCTGTTACCGCTCTCTTCTTTCAAGCATAAACATACACACACCTGATACATCCACATGTTGGCTGCTTCCCCCTTATTGTGTCCAAACATGTTGGTAAAGAAATTTTCTTCAACTTCTCAAAGCTGCAGTTGAGCTTCAAAAAAACTCTAAATTATCCAAATTCAAATTCAACTATAATCCTCCCTGTCAAGTGTATGTCTTGTATGGGTACACTAACTATAGGAATGTTGAAATTAACCTCAATAATGTTCAGTCTGATCAAGCAACTCACATTTAGAATGTTTAGTTTTGAGCCCATGGAAAAAGAAAGCAGCAAAAGAATGGCAAAGGATAGGATATCCCAGGATAGGAAAAGCAGAGCAAGAGACAGTCAGGTGGGATTCAAATGGAAGCCTGGATCAGTTTCCCTTGTAAATGATCTTGGCATTTCCCTAGGGTCTGTCAACCAAACCACCAGTTGCTCTGACAATTAATTGCCTTCCCTTAGTATGAAGGGGTATAAAGCTCTAGAAAAGGAAGCATCTCTTTGAATTTTAGCCTTCAAAGATGGAAAGCTGGAGCCTACAAGCTAAAGATATTCTTTTAAGAGCTGGTATTTTTCAGTGATATTATCCCTAACAAAAGGTGGTAGCATACTTGCATCTCTGGAGTTGTGAATGTGGCCCCTGAGGTGGGGGTGGGATTTAAAGTAAATAGGGGGAAAACAAAGTAAATAGGATTATGCCACTCCTTGTTTAAAACTTTCCAATGGCTTCCCATCAGAAATAATCCAGCCCCTTTCCCTGTAGGCATTGCACTGACACACTCTCCCACCTTCTCCCACTTCATCTCCTACCAGTCCTCACCTGGTCTACTGTGCTTCAGTTGGCTCCAACTTCACCAGCCTTCCTGAGGTTTCCAAAGCAGGTCAAGTTTGCTTTTGTCATCTGGCCTTTCGACTGAAAAACAACGTACAACCTAAAAGTTGAGAATTACGTTGTATTCAGTAGACTTTCTGAGGACTTCAAGCCCGGAAGCAGCCTCTCGGAGAGCTCTGAGGGACTGCTCCAAAGGGGTGAGGGAGGAGCCAGAATATATAGGAGTTTTGCAACAAAAAACAGGTGTTCAAAACACCAGAAGATTACTGTTCACTAAGGAAAACCAATCATCTCAAGTTAATGAATTTAGCACTTTTCTACGTGTGGGATGATGCTGCAGTCCAGGCTCACTGATATCCTTCCTTCTAAATATGCACCTTAGCTGTCTAGGACCAGTGTCCTCTTTCCCATCCTGAGTTCCCTCAGGGGTGGGCTGTAGTGTCTTGATGGTTACCACATCCTTTGTTTACTGATATGGCAGGCAACAGTTTTCATTCACAGACTTTTCCACTGGTAGTCCCTGGTCACAGAACTCCTTTTCTCTAAGTTTTTGCATGATTGGCTTCTCACTTGGGTCTCAGAGAGCCCCTCCCTGACCTGTTATTTAGAACAGCCCTCCCTTCCCTGCCCTTCAGTCTCTCTTAATCCCCTGTATTATTTTTTTCAAAGTACTTTAATACCATCTGGAAATGCATTGTCTACTTGATGGCTAGATTGGAAGCTTGAGAGTCTTGCTCAGTGCTTAGCAGTGAGTAGCACTGGATATACATCTAGTTGTTGGTTGTTGGTGGAATGAATGGATGATAGACCAAGAGAGCCAAGGTTTTGAGTCTTTTAAGAGTAGGAGTAATACTTACCTTCAAGAGGAGGAAAAGAAATCTCTCTTTTCTGGGTATTCCTGCTCCCCTGGAATTACTGTCTTTTGGGATTTTGGTTTGCACAATACTTTTCATACTTTAATTCTTTTCACAGGTTGCCAAAGCCTCTAAAATCTCCATTGTTATTTTGTTGTTGTTAATAACTCTTGTCTCCCCCACTGGCCTTATTCCAGGCCTCACTATTCTGACAAGCATTTCTACCAGTAATCATGCTTCATTAATATGAGGAGGCAGTATAAGGAGGGCTAAGATCCTGGGCTTTGGAGTCAGAATGATCTGAATAGTTAGGTCTGTGACTTAGCACAATTTGCTAAAATTCTCTGAATATCTGTTCCTTATTTGTAAAATGAGACTATTAATAGTTATTATCACACGAGATTTTTGGAAGGATTAAATGAGAGAATGCTCAGGAAACCAGGCACAGAGCCTCACACATAAGCACTTGGTATTAGCCATTAGTGTTGTTATTAATACTAATAATGAGAGCCCCCCCCCCCCCGCCCCCGGCAGGAATTCCCAATCCATTGATTTGGGAGTGGGCAGTAAGAGAAGGAAGACTACCAAATCCTAAATTAGTCTAAGTAAATGAAGACAAAAATGTCACTTTGATTTATCAGAACTGGAATGGAATTTAGAAGTCATCTAATTGCAAACTGCGGTCCAACTCCTAATAAACATCCACATGGAAGAAGTAATATTTATAGACATTTTTAGAAGGACATGTTATCTACCTGGTCTTAGTTTTATCCTTGAACTAAGCTGGGCCAACTGCAAGCAGCTTGCTTGGGCCGTGTTAGCTCAGCCCCTCCATAATTGTTTTCATTGGGACAGTCTCCGGTGTCCTGCCCTTTGCTTTACGGAGGGTCACTGTCCAAAATAGCTTTTCGATAACTTGCTGCTATGTTTCTTATAAGGCTTTATATTGTTGACGACTTCAATACAACTTCACTTAATGTCCCTGTTAATTGGAGAAATTTTCTTTCAGAGCCAAGTACCAGGAAAAGCTTTCCATCTCCCAAGAAACTGGCATGATTTTTCTTTGTGGACAATTGAATATAACTGATCATGTTTCTTTTCATGCTCTGGCTGCCGGGAAGCACAGATGGAAATTTGTGGCTTGATTTTAGTAACTGTGAGGCCCTGCATCCTTTTTTTTTTTCCTGGCATTAACCTTGAAATTCTTATTTTCTCTGATTTCAAGTTAATAATTTGCAACTTTCTATTCATTAGTTATATGCTGGATTGGGTATTGAAATCCATTTTAGGTGTTACACTTTAGAGATACTAACACTGAGGCTCAAACAGGAGAAAAGGACTTGCTTAAGGCACAGAACTAATCAGAGCAAAGCACAGAGTGTAAACCATACCTTTTGTTTCTCAGGCCCAGGGCTCTTCCTATTCCTGTACGTTCTGGAAGAGTACCAACTCCTGACTAAAACCCTAAGTAGCTCATAATGTCTCAATACTAGGCAAAGCCTACCTTCTCTCTGTGGTGGGGTGAAGGGGCATCTGCCAATGAGCTGCTACCTTGCCAGCCGCATTCCTGTTTCCTGGCTGTGTCAGCAGCGCTGTGCTCCCCCGTGGCCTTGAGGCTGTAGTATGTCCAGACTCAGTGGGTTTTATGTGAAACTAGATTGCCAGCTCAGAATGAAATCAGCCTCTAGTGCCTGGAGTTTCCTTGTCTGTTTCCTTTTCTTCAGTGGAGGTGCTGGGGATTGAACCCAGGACCTCGTGCATGGGAAGCACGCACTCTACCACTGAGCTGTACTTCCCCCCCTTGTCTGTTCCTTGCCATGAAAGGAAGGCTTGACATCTGGACGACAGATGGGTGCCACAGAGGCTCAAACAGTGTCTTCTGGGTGTGAGCAGTGGTTGAGTTTGGTTGAACCGAAGAGAGTGGCTTTGTTCTCTCTGATATGAAATTGAGTTATAGAAAATATTGACCTGCCTAATGAGTTGTTTTGTTTTCCCATGGTGTTCTGGTTGGGAGTACCTGGGGCAAGAGAGCGTAGGCTTGGAACACAGCCTGCCTGAGTCAGGAAATTTTTGATTCCTATTTTGAGAGCCAAGAGGAACCTCTGGCCTGGGGCTGAAACTCAACCTTGGTTTTGTTTTATTTTCCTGGGTAATAATCATTCAACAGTAGGAAGACCTTTGGGAGACAAAGTTGTGATATGGCCCCTGCCCCTGAGAGTCTGTCCTCAAATAGGAGTGATTAAGACATATAACCAGAGTACAAGGTAGAGAGTTTAAAGACATTACAGACATAGAGAAAGAAGGGTGGGCATTTTGGAGATGGGGCTGGAAAGAATAAAAGAGGGTTGAAACATGCAGAAACACGCCAGGGGAAACTGTGCAAAGGCACCGAGGTATATATGAAAGGTAACGTATGTGGAATGTTCAGGAGGCATGTGAGATGCAGGAAGGAGATACTGCTTGGGCTACCATTGCTACAGTTTAGAGTAACTCCATCGAACTGGACTGTGACTTACATCAGAGTCGAACTCCGGAGGGTGAAGACCTGTGAACAATGGCCAGCTGACGTAGATAAGAGGCAACCTCAGAGGTGAGACTGCCCCTCAGGATTCTCAAACCTTGTTGCCGTAAGAATTTCTAGCCCAACCAAAGGCCTATAAAATCAGAATTTTCAGGATGGGGAATTTAGTAAAAGCAAGCAAATAATAATATCACCATCACCACCCCCTTTATCCCCACCCAAGTCTCCCTGGTTTTTCTAATGTCATCTACACCCGCACATGTTGAGGTAGTTGATGTCACTGGCAGAAACCAACTGCTAAACATCCTTGACCTTTGGCCTCCTTTCCCTTATGTTCTATTTTTGCCTCTTCCTTTTCTTATTTTGTTTGTATGTTCCTGTGTGCCATCCATTATATTTACCTCCCCTTTATCTCTTCTTTTACCACTTTGGTCTTTGTCTGTTGGGGGTCCCTACCTAAATTGACCCACCACCAAACGGACCTAAAGTTAAAAATGAATTCTCTTTCAGTATTTGCTGTGTTAATAGTATAAACATGAGTATTATGTAAATATAATTAGATAGGGCTTTTGGTTAGTTTTGTGTACATGATTCTTAGTTTGTTTCCTTTAGGATTTGAGGGAAGAAAATTGTGTCCCCTCACGTGACTGCAGCCTTAAAGGGAAATATCCCATTAGCAGGAAGAGATGACAAGAACTGAAAATTAGCTTTTTCTTGTGGCTAATCTGTTGTCCCACCTTCTGGCTCAGGTTATTCCTGTCCCTCATTTGTTCTCTCAGTTTTTTCTAATTAAAAGTGGATGCATTGAGCCAACCCCGGGAGTCTGAAGATATTTTCAGAGAACTGGACATCTCTGCTTTGCATTATGATTAATTGACTTAGAGTCTCCCTCCAGGAGATATTCTGCCTGTTGTACTAAGAGGCTCAGGAATCAAGGATGCCCATCTTCAGACCCCTCTCTGTGTTGTCTGGGTTGAAGGATCCAGTAGGGCAAGTTGGGAAGGTTTCCCAGGGTTCAAATCCTGGTTCTGGTACCTTCTAGTGGAGTGATCTTGGACAAACTGTTCAACTTCTCTTGAGCTTTTTCCTCATCTTTCAAATTGGGGTAATCCTAACAGTGCCTGCCTCCCTGGGTTGGTTGTTGTGAGGATTAATCGCGATAACGCATGTCAAGTACACCGGCCCCTCATGGGCCCATAATAAGAAATAAATTGTAGATTCCTGGAGGCTTACTGACAGTTGCTGTAAGGCCTCAGATGACTCTTCCCTACCTCCTCCCCTCATTTTTCACTTTCCTTCAGCCAATACTTTCTGAGCTGTTAGTGCCAGCCAGGCTTCGGGCTAGCTGTGAGGGGTGATTAACCAGACGTGGTCTCTGGACGTGGTCAGGAATGGCTCAATCTAGTGGGAAAACTGACCCATAAACCGCAAGCTTTAAGGAGGTTTCTTAAACTATATGAACAGGCTGCACTGGCCACGTGAACGGCTCCCCTTGATGTGCAAGGCCTGAGCGGAAAAAGAGGCCGTCATTCTCACTAAAATCTATCTGCCATTCCCGTAACAGGAGAAATCCAGAAATTTGCTCTAGAATCAGGCTCTCTCTCCCACCCTATTCCTTTTCCTCTCCTACAATTCAGTGAATGGTAACACTCAATGACAATTTAATTCTTAGGACAGAATGCGTCCATCTTTGGGCTGGTGATGGCTAGGACTTTGGACATTAAGGTATCCTTTTGAAAGTGCCTCTGTCCTTTTTTTCTCCTGAGTTTTAAGTTCAGTATCCAAATTCCAATTGTGAAGAGGCAGGGAGCCCAGCCACAGATGTCAGGGTCTAGAGTTTTGGATTTATTTGAATTGGGAGATTAAAGTGAGAAAGCCAAAGGCATGTTGACAGCTGAACAATAGAATCGTATTGGCAGATTTGAGATGGATGGTTTGTAACTAATTGGGGCCCCAGCTGTGCCCTGGGGGAGCAGCAGTTAAAGAGAAATCAAGGTCACACAGTGCCCAGAGTCCAAAAGACGTTCATTTTCTTTTTCAAAAGACTTTCACTTATTCAGTAAATAATATTGGATGTTTGTGTGTGTGAGACACAGATAACAATCAAACAATCACCTCAATAAAAGTAAAATTACAACTGTGAGAAGTGCTGTGCATATGAAATCAGGAACCTGACTTAGTGGGGATTGGAGAAGTCTAAGGGGAGGGTTCCAAGACTGGCCATATCTCTTACTCGGCTTTCCAGGACTTTGTTTTCTTGCTAGATCTTTTAAATGGCTGTTTTACATTACAGTTCAAGTGTAGCACTGTCTGGGGACAGAGAAATGGACCCCATCCCTCACTGGGTCCCAGATCTCGGAAAGAATGTATTCACATTGTTCTAGCTAGGGTCATCATCTCTGAGTGTGGCAGAGATAAAGTGAAGGACTGACGCTGAGGGCGGCAGCCTCTGGGGGGCTGGAGGAAAGGGCAGTGGAGCAGAGGCCGGGTGGAGGGACCCCCTTTTCTTGGCCTGAACTAAACCTGACACTGCATTTTCTTTGCCTCAGTCTTGCCTAGAGCAGCAGCTCAGATTGGGAGAAAGAATGTTCCTGAGTGGGAGGTTTGAGGGTTTCTCTAGGGGTTTCTCCGGAAGCCAGTGCCAGCCCTGGGAGTGTCCCCTGGGACGCTGCCCTAGGAGGCACACAGATACGGCAGAAAGGGCCAGGAGAGGCAGAATGGGTAAAACCATCAGAGGTTCTTGTGGTGTGGCCCATCAGAGACATGGTGCCACAGTCCTGAGTTTCAGACTCCATCTGCCAGCCCAAGTGAGTTGGCATCGTAAGAGTTTGCTGGCTTTTGAACTTTGCGGAGCATTCATGGTGAGTCCTATGTAATGCCCAGAGTTTAGTATTTTAACTGTATTAAATAGTGGCAGACTAAAGAGACTCAAAAATAGCTTTACAGGGCAGCACAGTGCCAGTGACGGTCACTCATTTTACTCAGTTATCAAGGATCTCCAATGTGCTGGACACTAGGAGTCCTGGGGAAACCAGAGGGGTGTAAAGACTGGACTTCTGACTGCAGGGAGTCCCCAGTCTGGGAGACACATGACAATGGTGTGATGAGAAGTTTTTTGCATGCTGGAAGGCGGCCCCCAGCTCTGTTTAGGGTCTTATTTGAGCTGGGTAGCAAGGGATGAGCAGGCATTTTACTGGGCAGAGAAGGCAAGTTAAGGCTCTGCAGGAGGCTGAAACAACTTGAGAAAAGGTAGTAAACAAGCTTGGTCTGCTGGGGAAACAGGTTTGGAGTGGGGTGGGAAGGTGATGAGAAGATAAGGAGAATCGGGTCTAGGTTCTTGGTGCCACCTAACGGGTTGGACCTTGTCCTGTAGGCTGCTAGGAAACCACTGGCGGTTTTGAAACATGAGAGAGATGTGATCAGATTGTGCTGTATAAATAGAATTCTAGAATGGGCTGGAGAGGTAAGAGCTGAGTCAGGGAGACTAGTTTAGGGAGCTGTCACGGTCGTTCAGGATGAGAGAGGATGGGGCTCCCACAGTGCTGCTGGCTGTGACTGAGGGTGGCAGTGGGGAGGGTGGGTTGTAAAGGTACAACCGTCTAGGGGGCAGATAGTGTATGACACAGGAGGGAGAGAGAATAAAGGGCGTTTCCTGCTCGGGTGACTGGGTCTTCAGGAGGAAGGAGCAGAATTCAGGTAAAAGAAATAGGAGCCGGGGGAAGGGGAACCACAGTACTGGCTTTGGAAGAGTTCAGTTTGGAGTGCCTTCCTAGGAGCCAGGTAGGACACCTTTGAGAAAAGGATTCTGGGTTCAGGAGCTGGAGATAGAGGTTCAGAAGACTTGGGTGTGGATGATAGTTCCCCAGGGGACCAGGCAGTCAGGCACATGGTGGAATCACGTCCAAGGAGGAGGAGGATGGAAGAAGAGCAGTCAGGGAGACTGAGGCTCAGTCAGGGAGACAGAAGAACCCTCAGAGGCAAGATGAGGCCCATAAGGGAGAGTTTCGGGGAAAAGCAGCCCACGAGAGGGCTGAATGCAGCACCAGGGCCAAATAGTGTTAGCATTCAAAAGTATTAGTGTGTGGACTTGGCATGTGGGAGGCTGCCCTTATTTTCTGTTACTCAAAAGCGTGGTTGTGATAAATGATATTCATGGAGCATTGCCAGAAGGCTCTGTAGCTCTTCCATTCCTCTGGAGAGTCCATATCGCTGGATCCAGCCAGACCATCAGAAAGCCATGTTCTCGGGCTGCCCTAGTTTGACCCCGTGTAGAATCCCTTTTACTGAGTTGTGCTTTGGTGTTTATTATGGTCTGTTTTCATGGAGGGAACTGGAAGAAAGTATTGCTGGAGGGCTACATCGTAGGAACTGTTGATGTGTACTGGGGCTCACTGGCTGGTTCTTGTCTCCTACGACTGCCCATAGGAGACATGTTTCTTAGAAAATCTGTATCCTGAGCAACCAAGATGCTCTTATTTCACAGGAAATATAAATCTTACAACTTCTGATATTTTCTTGGTTACTGGGGAGCTCAAAGCCAAATTTATAATTGAAATTCAGTAAATATTTAGCAATTTGACAGCATGCACTTCTGTGTCCTCTCCTTTTGTTCTTTTATTCCTCCTACCGTAATTAATCTATTTTAATAGTACTGTATTGTTTATTTATTTTTTTGTAAGCCACCTTAAATCCTTTTTTCGATCCAGGAGTTGTATAAGAAAAAGAAGGAAGCCATTGATGAACTTTAACCAAGTATCCTTGGTAATGAATCTTCAGACAGGTTATTTTTGGTTGAAATTGTGGAATCAACCCAAAGTAAGATCTGATCTTTCCATAGCCAGCTAGCAACAGCTACTTCTGTGTAATATCTAGTAAATTACATGCAAGTTTCAGGATGTTCAAGGGGAAGTGGCCCTTCTCTATGCAGATGTTCTGACAGATTTAAGCTTCACGTGGGGTCCTCCCAGGCAGAGTGCTGAACTAAGAGCCATGTTTCAATATATTGCTTTGCTAACAGATGTTGCAAAGCACTGTTTCAGCAGCCATCTCTGAGTGGACTCTGTGAGACTGGCACGTTCTGTGACCTCGCTGAAATCAAGGTCCCAACAGAACGAAGGTTGGCTGATGGGTACTTTGCTCTGGGGCAGGGTTTGGCTGGCAGAGACATCATTTTACAACATGAAATCAGAACTTTAAGAGCTGAAGGAATCCTAGAGATCATGTAGGATTATCACCTGACAGAGAATCCCCCTGAAATCAAGGCTAGGCCCTGTATCCAGGCTGGAGATGAATGGTGGGTTTTTTTGTTTTTGTTTTTGGTAATTCTCACAATGTTTCAAACTTTTTCATTGTTATATTTGTTATGGTGTGATGTTATCAGTGGTCTTTATTATTTCTTTTCCCTTTTTTTAAAAAAAAATTATTTGCTTTTTCAAGCTTTGTTTTTTGGTGGGGGGAGGTAATTACGTTCATCTGTTTTTTGCTTTGTTTTGTTTTGT